CTTCTGGAGGCTGGAGCCGCAGGTGTGATTCATCATGCAGCACTTATTTGGAGGATTTTGTTCCTAAGGCACTGGAGCTGGAACCCAGTGCTTTCCCAGTGTTCTGCTCCTAGAGACCTCACTTCCTCCTTCTGCCCGGTTACCTCCCCTGACATACCTAGTATGGTGCCCACCTCAAGCCCCTACATGAGTGCTCCTCTGGCATGAGCTCCCTAGAAGCCCCCAAACCTTTCACTAGTGCCAAACTTGCTCCTGCCTTCAGTCATTTTCTTTGTTTTGTTTTGTTTTGTTTTGTTTTGTTTTGTTTTGTTGTTTTTCGGGATAGGATTTCTCTCTGTATAGCCCTGGCTATCTTGGAACTGGAACTCACTCTATAGACCATACTGGCCTGGAATAGAGATCCGCCTGCCTCTGCCTTCCAAGCGAGATTAAAGGTGTGTGCCAATACCTCCCAGCTCAGATGTAAATCATTTTCTCAGTGACCTTTTCCAAGGCCTCCATGCTGAACCTAATATTCACCTGCATGTTTAATCTGCCTTTCCAACTCACTTTTTCTCCTGGTGTTTATCAGACATACCATAAGGAAAAGCATTTTCTGTCTAAGTAGGTCAGGTTCCTCTGTGGTAAGTTGTGTGTGTGTGTGTGTGTGTGTGTGTGTGTGTGTGTGTGTGTGTGCGCGCGTGCGCAGGAGTGTAGGTACAGCACATGCACAGGTACACATAGAGGACAGAAGGCATCAAATCCTTTGGAGTTTGTACATTATAGAGATGTGTGGGCCACCAATGGGTGCTGGGAATTGAACCCAGATCTTTGGCAAGGGCAGTGAGTGCTCTTAACCACTGAGCCATTTATCCAGCCCCAGATAAAAGTTCTCTTATTGCCTCCATAAGACCTAAAACAGGATATGAAGAGACTTAATTTTCCAGTTGTTCTCTGCTCTGTCTGTCCCGCCTCTCTGGCTGTCCAAATCAGTGCCATTCCATACAGATTCTCCACAGTCATGTAACCCATAAATAAAAGTGTCATTGCATTGGTCACAGTGAAGAAAGATTCCCTATGGGAGTCGTGTGTTTTCTCTGCCTGACAGGCTGGGGTCAGGGCATTGGTAAAGAGCTTACTTTTGGCCTTGAGAGCATGTCTGTTGGGCTAAGATGTGCCTCGGTTGGTAGTATTTGCCTGACATGCACAAAGCTCTGTGCTCCATCCCTAGCGTTCCGTAAAACCAGACATAATGAAGCACATCTGTAACTGAAGAACTCTGGAGGTGGAGGCAGGAGGATCAGAAGTTCAAGGTCATCCTTTGATACATACTGAATTTGAAGCTAGCCTGGGCTATATGAGATTCTGTCTCATAAAAGGAAATGAAAAAAGAAAGGAAGAGGGAGGGAGAAAGAAGGAAGTGAGAATGAAACTATTAAAGAGTATGAGAGATGTTTGTCTATCAAGGAAGGTATCCAATTTTTGGATTTGTTTGTTTGTCTTTTTGAGACAGGACCTCTCTCCATAGGCTTGGATGTCGTGGAACTCACTGTGTAGACCAGGCTAGCCTTGGGCTCACAGATGCACCAGCCTCTGCCTCCAAAGTGCTGGGATCAAAGGCGTGTGCTACCACTCCTGGCCTGGTTACATACATTTATTTACTTGGGAGGCAAGGGCAGCCCATGCCTCGTGGTGTGTTTGTGAAAGTCAAAGGACAACTTCCGGGAATCATTTTGTTCTTCCACCTTGTGAGTCCCTGTGATTGAACTCATGTTGTCAGGCCTGGTGACACAAACATTTACCAGCTGAGCCATCTCCCCAGTCCCTGTTGTTCAAATTTTAATTAAGTTCTTCTCTGCCTCCACTCTTGTTGTATTAAATCTTTCACCCTTATTTTCTGTGCAGGCTGACTGGGATATTTTTGCTAATTTTAGGATAGACTTGGGGGTAATTTAGAAACTGTGGTGTCTGAAGAGAGCAGGAGACATGGGGGCCGGGCACCTTCTCATTAAGTACAGAAGATATGCAAGGAAGAAGCCAGGGCCTGGAGAGAAGGGCTAGCAGCCAGAAGTACTCGCTGCTCTTGCAGAGGAACCGGGTCTGGACCCAGCACCTACACAGTGGCTCACAACCATCCTAATTTCAGTTTTAGGTGAGCCAGTGCCCTCTTCTGACCTCTGTGGACACCAAACTTGCACATAGTATACATTCATACATATAAGCAAACACTCATACACATAAAATAAAATCTAAAAATCTTGAATTGTTTTCATTTATCAAAGAGAAATAAAGCCAGGTATGATGGCACACACCTTTAATACCAGTACTCGAGAGGTAGAGGCAGGTGATCCCTCAGTTCAAGGCAGCCTGGTCTACATAGCAAGCTCCAGGACAACAACCAGAGCTTCATAGAGAGACCCTGTATCAACAAACCAGAAAAGAGACAGAGATGTAGAAATGCAGAATTAGAAAGGAAACAACTCAGGAATTTACTTAAGAGCTTTTTAGGTATCTGTGATGGGATGTATGCAGAGAAGTTTGCTGTCAGTCATAAACCTTCAAGCAGTAAATTACCAAAACAAAACAAAAGTAGCTCTGGGCAGCAGGGCCTGCGCACTGTCATGGTTTACTCTTAAGCCTGAGTCTAAGGACCCACGGGACAGAAGCAGAGAACTGATAGTCCACTGATTTCCACATGAGCCCTGTGTCCTGTGTGCGTACGCTTGCACATACATGAGCACACACACACACACATGAATATTTAAAATCTCTAAATGAATGAACAGCCAGGTGACACACATCTTAATCCCAGAGCTTGGGAGGCAGAGGCAGGTATGGATCTCCGAGTTCAAGGCCAGCGTTCAAGGCCAGCGGGGGAATTGACAAGAACCCCGGACTGAGAAGGCAGTTTCCCATAGCTTTCAGGAAGGATTTGGCTGTTGTAGATGGGTGCATTCCTTGCTAAGCAAGCACCTGTCTTCTGTGTCTTGTACGGAGGTTGTCCACTGAGGCTGTGCATTCCAGAATCGTGACCTCAGCTCAAGCTGTGGTCATCAAACTCCTGGGGGCAGCTGGCGAGAGAAGAGAGTGAGAACAGAGTGGGAGGGAGCCTCTTAAAAGAACACTTCTTGCTCAATTCCATTTACTGCCTGTCTGTCCCCCTCCAAGTTTATGTTCTGAACAATGATGCCCCCTAGTGGCACATAACAACCCACAGGACATTTAGATTGGTTTAAACCTAGATTTGCAAATTGAACTCGGGTTGTCTTGCTCTGTGTTCTTTGACTAAACAGCATATGGGTAACTGAGACTTTTACTTTATTTGAGTCAGACAGACAGTGTGTCCAGGCTGCTTTCAACTCACTATATAGCAAAGAATGACCTTTGACTTCTGGTCTTCCTGCCACCTCACCCAGTGTTGGAGATCAAGCCTAGGACTTCAAGCATGCTAGGTGAATGAGCAAAACACTCCAGCCCATGGCTTCTTAATGTAAAGGACAAAAGGATACAAAGAAATATAAATTTAAAACCGGGGCATAGTGGTCTCTTTGGTTTGGTTTGTTTCTCTGGGTAGCCTTGGCTGTCTTGGACTCCCAGGCAATCTACCTGACACCTGCCTTGCCAAGTCCTGGGATTAAAGGTGTATGCCACCATGCCCGGCCCTGCCTCCTAGACACTGACAGCCCAGCCTACCCTGAGTTCCCTGTGTGTTCCTCCAATCCTGTGCTGTGGACAGTGCATCTGGCTAGGCAACTTATTTATTTAGAATAAATTTACAGTTGCTTGAAGGATTTAAAAGTCAGCCAGGCATGGTGGCATGTGCCTTTAATCCTAACACTGGTGAAGCAGAGGCAGGCAAATCTCTGTGAGTTTGAGGCCAGTCTAGTCTATGGAGTTCCAGGACAGCCAGGGCGGTTACACAAAGAAAGCCTGTCTTGAAAAAACAAAACTGAGGCATGAAGAAGGCTTGATCAAGATTTGAGAATAACCTAAACTATATAATGAGATGATGTCAAAAATAAATCAGTTCTGTATGGGAAGTTGGTCTGGCTTAAGTGATGTGATTGTGGAATAATCATTTTTTTAAATTATAGTTTATGTGTCTTATCAGTTGTGATTGTTTTATGTAAATCTCTTTAAATTTTTTTCATTATGTTCCTTGGTGTACATGTGTGTGGTCTTGTGGAGGGCAGAGGACCTACCGTGTGGGTTCTGGGTATAGAACTCAGATTGTCAGGCATGGTAGAAAAACCCTGACCTACTGAACCATCTGACCATTCTCTAATTCTTCTATCAATAGTCCCACTATGTTCATAATGCCAAAAGCCATGCTTTGACATGCTGTCCCCAAGAAACCTATGTACATCCTGTAGATGCTCTGGCTTCCTAGAAATCTGATTTCAGAATTAATTATTGTTTATGCTCTTAGCTGTGCTATATATTCATGGATATGGAAGCATTGGTGATGGCCAATAAATGGAGTAAAAACAGCATTTGAGTTTTAACACCCCTCATGCTACTACGTGTAACAAGTTCAGTGGGATGGGGAGTTGCTCAGTGCGAGGTCTATTGCCACCACCAAGGCCATCAGCACGGCTCTGCCCACTTTAACTGCAGGAAGGCAAGCCCAGGAAAGCTCAGGAAGTTATCTGTGTTTATGGTTTGAACATCAAATAAAGAAAAGAGCTGCAGGAATAGCAGAGAGTTCAAGGTACTCTTCACCTGTAAAGTCTGACCTTAGTGATGAGGTGACTGGCCTCCTCCCATCCGAAGACATCACATAGCCCATTAGACCTGCACAGCCCACGGGCGCCTGACTCTACCTGTGAAGGGGTGCTGTGCGGAGGGCTCACTGCCCTCTCTCATCCTCTCATTTTGTTTCCTTCTCCCTAGGCCTGTTGTGAGGGCTGGTTGGGAGTTGCACAGAAAAGAGCCAGTGAGCCTTCTGCCAGTGAATGACAGCTGGCTGGACTCACCACCTCCCTGGCTTCTGTGCCTAGTGCATCTTCTCTCTCTTGCAGTCCAACAAAGTTCCTGTCGTTCAGCGCCCTCATCACATGCACCCGCTGACACCCCTCATCACCTACAGCAACGACCACTTCTCCCCTGCTTCCCCTCCCACGCATCTCTCCCCAGAGATCGATCCAAAGACAGGTGAGTGGGCCGGGCTGTGCTCCCATGGCACGGGCAAGTTTTCTTTGGGGTGAGGGTACAAAAGAGTCCCTGAATGAATAAGGTCTAGGTTGATTGCCACGCTGGTTTGGCTGTGTTTTTGTTTGTTTTGTTGTTTGGTCTGCTGGGTCTGTTTGTTTGATTGATTGGCTGATTAATTAATTGGTTGGTTGGTTAATTTTTAACCTGTGCCCCTTGCCTCTCCACACTAAAAGCCATCGTAAGGACTAAACGTAATGGTTCAAATTAAGCCCAGAGCCTGGAACCACTGTAAATTTAGAGTGCTGTTCAGTCCATCTGAAACTGTGTGTCCATAAACCAGAATGTGTGGTCTACCCCACAATCTTCAAATACAGCCTTCTGGACAGACTTTAAACAGCTATAGATTGAGGGTGGGGCCCGAGGAGCTGGCGCTGTGTATTGGTGGTGAGAATTAACTGCCTGCCATACCTGTCCAGCCCTGGCAGCCAAGGTCTTTATAACATTCCTGCGGGGCCACTGAGACACTAAGAATTCTCAGAGCCTTTGTTCGGAGAAATAGTGATTATTGCAGGGAAACTAACTGTAGAGTGAAAATCCAGAATTTAGAGGCAGGGAGGCTTTCTGGCAGAATAAGTTTATTGTCCTGGGAATGAAGCCGGTGTTCTGGGAAGTTAGTTAAATGAGGACTCAGGATATTTTTTGCTCTCTGTCCGGGATTTCTGGGAACTTGTATGGATCCCTGTCCAGTCAACAAAAGAAAGTTATTTCCACAGAGATGGCTTCTGGGTAGCTAGAGAGAAGGTACATGGGTCCTCCCTCCTTTGGCTGCCCCTGAGTGGCCCACCCAGAGCTGCTAGAGGTGAAAAGAGCAGAAATGATAAGGGACAAGGGTTTGCTGGGGTGTGGACAGCCTGGGCATGCAGGGGAAGGAGGCTCCTGTTGGGTGTAAGTTATGACGGTAGGGTGAGGAAAGCATTTGACATATCTCTCTCTGGAAGCAGGAATCCCCCGGCCCCCTCACCCATCTGAGCTATCACCGTATTACCCACTGTCTCCGGGAGCTGTCGGACAAATCCCACACCCCCTTGGCTGGCTCGTCCCACAGTAAGGAAACCCACAGCCTTTCTTTTCCTCACTCCCACCTTGGACAGCTTCCTCCCAACTCCTCTGACTTCCTGCCATTATTTCTCTCTAGCCCCCCACAGTCTTGGCCCTAAACATCCCTTCTATCTGGCCATCTTTCTCCTTCCTCACCCTCACAGGCAAGGACAGCCCATGTACTCCCTCCCTCCTGGTGGTTTCCGGCATCCTTACCCTGCCCTCGCCATGAACGCCTCAATGTCCAGGTGAGTCCTAGGGCTGGGGCTGCCCACATGAAGTGACAGTCCAGGGATTTGGTCTGTTTGTGACTGTGTCACTTCTGACCATGAACTAGCCTGTCCCTACAGGTTAGTGAGCAGGCATGGGGCTCTCTGATGCTCACTTCTCTTTGATGAGGGGCTACCTCTTGCCCCATGCTCCTTACACCACAACCCCATGGAACGAGGACGCCAGGGTACTCTCCCCTAACACACACACACACACACACACACAGCTAAAACCTCAGAGATCTAGCTTGTTAGCCTCCTTCCACATCCTCACATACCAGGCTCTGTGGAACAGTCATTTTGAACATGTCAGAAGAAGCCAGAGACTAGGCAGAAATGCGGTGATGTGCTGATGCCAGAAAAGAAAATGGTGCACGGGGGTGGCTCTACCTGACAATGAAACAACCATATGGCCCATAGTCCTGCCTTTCCCTGTATTCCATGCCTTCTGACCTTCATGCCTTCCGTGTTTTTCATTCTACCTGCATCCAGCACCAGGCTTGGGTACCCTGTATTTCTTAGAGAAAGGGATAGCATCGTTGGGCATTCCCCAGAACTGAGAGTCTAAATCTGCAGAGGACAGCCATCTGGGTGACACACGCCCTCACCTCTCTGCTCTCATTTTTTCTGCTTGTCGTGTAGCCTGGTCTCAAGTCGGTTCTCCCCACACATGGTAGCCCCTGCCCATCCTGGCCTGCCCACCTCAGGAATCCCCCACCCTGCCATCGTCTCTCCCATCGTGAAACAGGAGCCAGCGCCCCCCAGCCTGAGCCCTGCAGTGAGTGCGTAAGTAAGAGGCCATCTGGATGGAGGGGGTACGAGGAGCTGACTAGCCTCTGCACAGCCCATGCCATTTGCTTTTCTGTCCTGGTGTCAGCTTGAACTCCAAGCCCTGTCTTCTCTCGTGGATTTTCTGCATCCCTTCCTTAAAGACCTGATGCATCTAATCCCATAGTCAGGTTCTCGTGGCTCTGAGGAACCAACCAAGAAAGCTTTTGGCCTCCTCCCCTGCCCTGTCATTCCAATAAAATGTGAGGCCAGGACAGAGAACTGGATAGCATCATTCTCTCAAGGACTTGTGACAGCTGATGTCAGAGTAGAGACCCTGGCATTATCCTCTGTGCTGGAAAGGCAGCAGGAGAGCACCATGGCTGAGGAGGGCCATGCCCTGCCTTTTTTCTCTTCTCTCCTCTTCTCCTTCTCCCCTCCCCCCTTCTCTTCCCTCCCTTCTCGCTCCCCACCTGCCCGGCTCCTGAAAGCAGTCACATATAGCCACAAATCAAGCATCTCCTCCCAGAGGCGCTGGTCAGCTGACTCAGGGAAGGCAGGCCCGGGGAGCTAGATGATGGGGGGAGCTAGATGATGGGGGGAGCTAGATGATGGGGACACCTAACGCACAGCCACATGCCTCCGCAGGAAATCCCCAGTTACCGTGAAGAAGGAGGAGGAGAAGAAGCCTCACGTGAAAAAGCCTCTGAATGCCTTCATGTTGTATATGAAGGAGATGAGGGCCAAGGTGGTGGCTGAGTGCACCCTGAAGGAAAGTGCGGCCATTAACCAAATCCTGGGAAGAAAGGTACCGCCTATCCTCGAAGTCCTGCCTGGCACTGGGCCTCGATGTCCCCTATCCTGACGGCTCTGTGTTTCTTAACCTTCTCTCCCTCAGTGGCACAACCTGTCAAGAGAAGAACAGGCCAAATACTATGAGCTTGCCCGGAAAGAACGGCAGCTTCATGCGCAGCTCTACCCAACCTGGTCGGCCCGGGACAACTACGTAAGTGTTCACGCTGTGCGGGAACGCCATCTTCAGGATGCTGAGGAGAGAGAGCGAGAGGCCTCAGTTTGCTTCTAGAGAAGAAGCCATGTTCTCTAGAATAACACAGCCAAGTCTGAATTCTTAGGGGCCGTGCCTAGAAAGCCCATGAAACGTGTCAGATGTCTCTATGCATGCTCTTATTTCCTCTTTCTTTCTTTCATCTGGTGAAAGGGTTTGTGGCTACATCAAGTTTTCAGAGGGACTTGGGACTTCTCAGAACAACCAGGCCAAGGTGGTCGATCAGTAGATAAAACACCTGCTTGTCAAGAGGACGCATCCTAGGCAGGCAGGGTGCCGCAGCCTGTATCCCCAGAGCTCGGGGAGGCAGAAGCAGATGGATCTCTGTGAGGCCAGCCTGGTCTACAAAGCGAGTCCAGGACAGCCAAGGCTACACAGAGAAACCCTGTCTTGAAAAACAAAAAAGAGTGTAAATCTTCAACACCTACCTACCTACATACGTGGTGATGTGTTCTCAGACTCAGCCCAGAAGAGGAGGAGAACAGTCCTTGGGGTTCATTAGCCAGCCAGCCTAGCCTGCTTGGCCAAGTTTCAGGCCAGTGAACATGTCTCCCCAAAATGTTGACAGTGCCTGAGCAATGACATCCAGGGTTGTCCTCTGGTCTCCGTGTGCATTGCGTGCATGCGTGCGTGCACTCCTGAGCGCTTGGGCACACAGAAGCGGGGTAGAGGAAGAGAGGCTTTTAAGAGACTAGTAACCACTCTTCTAGGGAGTAGAGGATGGAAGAGACAGACTAGCTTAGAGGCCATCAGGGCCAAGAAGGCTGCTTGTTCCCCCAGGGGGACTTTATGAGAAGGGAGGGAAGAGTTGCTCTGCCACCTTTCCCATCCCAGGTCTCCAGTGCCCTCTTCCCATGAGCAACCAAGAGAAGGCAGGCTGACACCTGTTCTGGGGTGATCTGGGGTCCTCTTCCTAAGCAAGTGTTATTTGGTCCCTATTCATCAGTCCTGTGTTTTTCAGGGGAAGAAGAAGAAGAGGAAGAGAGAAAAGCAGCTGTCACAGACACAGTCACAGCAGCAAATCCAAGAGGCTGAGGGTGAGTCCTGGGCTGGGGCCCCTCGGCTTCCTCTCCCCTGTGCCAAACACACCTGCCTATGTCACCTCACTCTCTGAAGACTCGGTGTTCTTGAGAGCCGCAACCCTCAGCAGGGTGTCAGCATTCCCTTTACGAGAAGACCAAGGAAGAGGCCGACAACACTACCCGATCCCAGCACCCTTATGGAAAGCTTTGGAGGGTTTGCCGAGTTTCCTAGTTATTCTCCGACAATCTCCTCAAAGCTCAAGCATATCTCAGTTAAGCTGAACTGTCCTGTCAGGGTTATGTCCTAAAGCCAGTACATACGGTGAAAACAGGAGTTAGCTGGAATTATCTCTGAAACTCCCTTCCAAAGCTGGCATGCTAGAGATAGACGTATCACCCGGCTTAGTTAGTTTTCTCATTGCTTTGACAAAACACCTGCCAAAAGCAACTTAAGGAAAGATTTGTTTTGTCTCGGAGCTTGGGGGAGCCGTCCATTATGGTGGACAGACACGACAGGTGATCACAGTGTATCCTTGGTCAGTAGACAGAGATGGATGTTGGTTCTCAGCTCACTTTCTCCTATTTTTGGTCTAGGACCTCGGCCTAAAACCAGAGTGGATCCTCCTTGCTCTGTTAAAACTTTCTGAAAACATTTTATGGACACATTCAGGTGTGTTTCCATGGTGATGATGCAGACTGGCCACACCACTTATCGATGAGTTCACTGGATTAGATTTTCCTTGGTTGCCTTTGCTCAGGAACCACATCACTCCACATCTAGCTGGGCTAGGTGACAATTAGCACACAGCAAGGGTTTCTGGACCTCATGCTCATCTCAGTGTAAAGCTAGTGTGTAACACGTGTGCGACTGCGTTGTGCCCTTTACGATACACTGGCCTCCTTTCTTCCACATAATCTGTATATTCTTATGTAGCAACAGTAGTAAAATAGAGAGGCAATACAGAATCCGTTATGTGACATGGTACCCAGCAGGCTACATCATCTCTGTGCCACTGGCCAAGAATTTGAAAGCAAACTGAGTAGAGATTCATCTCAGCAGTGAAAGGGTTTATGGACAGGGTGTAGACTTTGAACTGTTTGTTCCTGATCAGATTCTGAGTGGGTGTTTGTCGGTCTGGGCCGTCGGTCTTGGAACTGTACCTTCTCTGGGCACTGGGTGTTAAGGGAAGTTTCCTAATCTCAGAATCTTTGAAAAGCCTGGAGACGCAGCTCAGTTGATGGAATGTTGGCCTAAGCATGCCTGAAGGCCTGCGCCAGACACCTAGCACCACATCTAACAGGGGTACTGTGTATCTGTCCCAGCACCACAGAAAACAGTGGGAGAACCCCAAGGTCATCCTTGACTACAGTCTGAGGCTAGATACATGACAGTCTCTCCAAAATGTGCAAAGAAATCAAGGACTAGAGAAAAGAAAACGTAGTGAACAGAGTCAGGACAAGCATGAGGGCATGCTTCTCAGATGCCTAGCTCCCATGTGAAAGCCACAATGGCAACCTGCTCGTCTAGTCTACTAAAAACAACAGGTTTTATATCCAGTCAGACACTGTCTCAAAAAATAAGGTGGAGGGTCTGAAGAGCTGGCTCAGCAGGTAAGAGTACTTCTTCATACCCATCTGTAACTCCAGTTACCCTCTTCTCACATCCACAGGTCCCAGGCACACACCTAGTACACAGACACACATGTAAGCAAAAGACCCGTACACAGAAAATATTTCTTTAAACTAAGAAATACTCTAAAGCAATAGACGTCCTCCAGAGTTGACCTTTGCCCCCACCCACCCCCACACACACGTACGTACGCCCCACAATTTAATTTTTTCTAGTATTTTTTGGGCAATTTTACATTTCCAATGTACAGTCATCCTTCAATATCCCTTGGATTGGTTCCAAGGCCCGCCCATATTCTACTCCTCAGATAGCTGATCCACAGGTGCTCAAGTCCCTGGAGTGAGGTGGCCTTGTATTTGCATATAGCTTATGCATATCTTCCACCTACCTTATGCCAATTCTAGATGCCCTATAACATCCCACACACAGATGTGGATATAGCTATTAGGTTCTGTTTGCTTACCAAAAATAGCAAGAAAAATAAAATGCCTGTGTTTAGTACAGACAAGTTTTGTTTTGTTTTGTTTTGTTTTGTTTTGTTTTGTTTTGTTTTGTTTTTTCCTGATTACTTCTTATCAGCTCTGGGTTGAATCCATGGAGTGAGCCGCAGATCCAGGAGGTTGACTGTACCTGTGTCTCTCTACTGCTGTTCCTCTGCCCCTGCCTTGGTATCAGCTGATCATTTCTCCTGCTGTTTTTACCTTTAGGTGCTTTGGCCTCCAAGAGCAAGAAGCCATGTATTCAGTACCTGCCCCCTGAGAAGCCTTGCGACAGCCCTGCATCTTCCCACGGCAGCACGCTGGACTCCCCCGCGACTCCCTCGGCAGCCTTGGCTTCTCCAGCTGCCCCTGCAGCTACCCACTCCGAGCAAGCTCAGCCCCTGTCCCTCACCACCAAGCCGGAGGCCCGGGCCCAGCTGGCTCTCCACTCAGCTGCCTTCCTGTCAGCGAAGGCCACAGCCAGCAACTCCAGCCAGATGGGCAGCCAGCCTCCACTCCTCTCCAGGCCCTTGCCCCTGGGCTCTGTGCCCGCTGCTCTGCTGACCACTCCCCCTTCCTTCCCAGCCACGCTCCATGCCCACCAGGCCCTCCCTGTGCTACAGGCCCAGCCTCTTTCCCTGGTCACCAAGTCGGCCCACTAAGCTGCCCCTGGTCTGTGCAGGGCGTCTCGGGACTCCAAGTAGTAGTGATTCAGAAGAGAGGAAGGGGGGAAAAAGGAAACATTATTGGTCAATATTTGACCACTCTGGACTGTTCTGTAAAGGGACTGGTAACAGCAGTGCTTTACAAGTGTAGATGTAGCCAGTAGCTCATCTTCAGGCTTTTTTTAAAAAATGAAATAAAAACAAGGAGAAAAAAAACCAAAACAAAACCTGTCCCTCCCCCAACACAAGTCTTCACAAGAGAGCACTGAAAAGCAGTGTTGCTGTCTCCCCGTGCGCTGTGCGGGTGCGCCTGGGCAGGAGGTGCCTCTCTACCTCTTCTCTTCCCGACTCTCTTCTTCATATTTGCCAGCCCTACCTGTCCAGCTTCCCCGCTGCACCCACAGCGTCGCCTGGCCCAGAGTTCTAGCCCGGCACCCTTTCCTCCAGGTCACTCCTGTTCCCTCGCCCAAGTTTTTGTCATGTGTTCAGTGCCATTTCATGGCCCTTTGTCCTCTGCCCAGTCTAAGGCCATGACCATGTGTGATGACATCTTGGCCTGGTCATTTCCCACCAGCATCCTCCTCTTCCTCTTGCGGCCCCAATGGGCCAGCCTCCAGCTTGTGGTGGGGAAAGAGGACCTTCTGAAATGTCCCCCACCCCTTCATTTAAAGGGACTCAAGGTGCTTGCCACTGCCTCCAAGAAGTCTGTGTTCGTCTCCAGTGCCCAGTTGAGTTTTCCCGCCTCACAGTCTCAGAGTGGCAGGCAGGACCCAGTCCCCACTGTCTGGCTCCTGTTACCTCGGTCTGTGCTAGTACAATCTGAGGAAGTTCTAAGACTCTCTGTCCCTCCCCACCACCACCTCACAAGCTTCTTCTGTGTGTATTTCATTCTGTTTTTATGGTTTTTGGAGCAATTTAAACTCCCAGTTTATTTTCACAAAAGAAAATAAAATTACAGCTGCAAGACCGTTTCTGAATGTTTCTTTAGACCATTTGTTGAATCAAGCCACCGCCTTCCTGCCAAGCCCTGGGTTAAATTTTTGCAGGCCACTTAACATAGAGTCATGTGAAGCTTTAAAAACTCAAACAATTTCTAACCCTTTTCCCCCAGTTGTTTTATCAACTCTGTGTGTATGAGCATTTTGTGCACTGTGTATGTGCCTGGTGCCCTCAGAGGTCAGAAGAGAGCTTTGAACCCTCTGGAGCTAAGTTACAGAAGAACATAAACCACTTTGTGGGTACTGGGAACTAAACCCAGGTCCTTCGCAAAAATAAAAGCTCTTCACCAGTGAGTCATCTCTCCAGCCCCCAACTTCTAAAGGTACAGACAATGTTGACCATTGAAGTCCTAAAGTGTGAATCTCATAATTTTTGCAATTGGTTTAAAGAGATTTCTAATCGGGAAGTATTCGGACCCCCTTTTATTAGAGTTACCAGGGAGCACAGAGCATCCTTTTAGCTTTTCATGCTTTCTGGCCTTGTGGCTCGTGTTCCTCATAATTTAGACTTACATTTTACCCATTCAAAATAGTGGGCAGGGCTGGGGGTATATCTCAATGAGCTGGCTATAAGCGGCTTTGAGTTTAAAGCTCCCAGTTTTAAATGGCATTACTAATGTATGTGCAGTAGGAAAGCACAGGTTGTTAGGGTAGTCAAGACAATTTTCTGGAGCCAATTCTACCTTCCAGGGATGAAACTCTGGTCTTCAGGCAAGTGCCTTTACCCACTGAACACTCTTGTTTGGCTTGATGTTTTGTTTTGTTGTTGTTGGGATTTTGTTTTTGTTTTTTGAGACAGGGTTTCTCTGTGTAGATCTCCTGGAACTTGCTCTGTACACCAGGCTGGTTTCAAACTCACAGCTCTGCCTGCCTCTGCCTCTCCAGTGATGGAACTAAAGGTGTGCTATGAAAGAAAGCAAGGGGGGGGGGGTGTCTTAATTGCTATCCTCCATGCCCTGAGCCATGACTATGGCCAGTCAGGTTCCAGTACTTTTGAACAGTTTCTATTGCCTAGATTTCAATTTGTTTGCTTTTTACCTCAAGGAAGTGGTTACCAGGAGATGATCATGTGGCGCAGGTTACACTGAGGAACTGGGACAAGGTGACTAAGCCCTGATTCAGAAGAGTAGCTGAGTATCTGGGCATGTAGCTCAACTAGGAGAGTGTTTGCCTAGTATGCACAAAGTGCTAGGCTCAATCCCTAGCACAGCATAAACTGAACACAGTACCACATGTCTATCATCTAGCCCTTGGCAGATATAGGAGGCTCAGAAGTTCAAAGTCATCCTCAGCTAATTATGGAGCTCAAGGCCAGCCTGGAATATAAAACAAAAAAAAACAAAACATTAGCAAGAAGGCATGATGGTGCAAGCCTTTAATCTCAGCATTGTGGAGGCAAAGGCAGACAGATCTCTGAGTTATAGCCAGCCTGGTCTACAGAGTAAGTTCCAAGCTAGCCATAGTGAGCCCCTGTTTAAAAAATAATAATGATAATAGTTGCTGAAGTAACAATCATAATCATACTTATGTATACATTATGTGTATACGTATGTACAGATAGATAGATAGATAGATAGATAGATAGATAGATAGATAGATAGA